TTGAAAATCAATATTTTTCAATCACCCTAATGTAATTACATAAATATGTATTCAGTCCCGTGATTTATTGGCTTAGCTTTCAAACTTGAATTTTTATTTGCTGCCAAATCTTGTAAAACCGGATCACCCAAAGGGTGTAGTATAAATAATTAATATAAATAACTAGCAAATACAATTAGCACAAATAAAATTTTTTCCGCTCATGGCCCATTGTGCACCGATGTGCAAGACTCAACAAATGCCGGGTTGTTTAAACCCACAACTGGACAAGGTGAACGCAGTCGGACGTACACACATAGCGAACAACTTAAATAAAATAAAACGCATATGCCTCAATATCAGTACGATACGAATATGTATGTGTATATGTGTATGGGACTCTTGAACAGGGAAGCCAACTCGTGGAGAATTCCCGATTTGCGGGGGATTTCAGTTTGCGAGGGGAATCGGGGAATGCACATTTTTTTGTGGGGAATTCCAGTTCGATCAATTCTAGTACAACAAAGTTTCAAACGGCTAAAAATTACCGTTGATTTTTTAGAAATTTCTTTGTCGCATTTGCTTTCATATAACGAATAACCACAAGTTATTTTTAAAAGGAAGAAAACCGCAACAGCTTCGGCAAAAAAAATCTAAAAAGAAAATTTTGACCCACTTGAAACTTGCACTAGAATTGAGTGAGTTTCTAAACTGCATACTCAAAACCTTGCTACAAAATCTATTTAAGAGGTCGACCTTTTTACGAATGTTGATTTATTATAAATATTGTAAAAAGTATGAAACTTGGATTTATACACTTTTCGTTAAAGAGTGAACTATATATTTATAAAAAATTACTAAAATTATATAACCAAAAAAAAACTAGTTGTGAAAACTTGGCAAAATTTGGTGCGACTAAAATTTTGCCGACCACTCTATGAAAATATGTAAATATTATATCGCACACCGAGTCACAACTCAAAATAATACGTTTGCCAGAAAATGCGAAAAACTATTTCTAAGCGCATGATAATCATATGGGCAAGAGCGACTTTACCTTAGGTTTTTTTTAACAAATTATAACAAAAATTTGCTCCAGCTTTTTCTGAAAGGTAAATAAAAGCTCTGTGTACATATTTAGCGCATAATTTCAAAAGTGCTAAACTTTGAGTTGTGACTCTTTTGAAGACGGTGTGCGATATAAACCTTTTTTATACTTTATTTGTTAACTAACTTTATACAAGTTTGGTTTGGCTTATGAATACACTTAAATCCATCTAGCCGTTTTTAGTGAAGAGAGGTTTCGCATAGTGCAGGTTTATAATTTCATCAAATTTCAAATCACCACTAAAGGTGGAGGTCCTTTTCAAAAGTTATTTCAAACTAAAATCTTCTTAAATCCCTTTCGCCTAACATTGTGATATACGTGTGTTTCAATAGCAGATGAACTAATTTGAATTTGATTGTTCAAACACGTTGCAACCCTCCTAAATGAAGGTCAGAAATAAAGAGTTTTCAAACCCATTTCGTTTGATACGAAACTTAATGAATAATTTGAAAGTAACTTTTTAAACACGTGGCAGCCCTTCTCAAACGTTCCAATTGTTCAGACTAAATATTTCTTAACACTCTTTCGTTTGACTCCCGTATTCACATAATTCACATAAGTTTTGCGTTAGTTGATTAAATTAAACCTTTCAAACAAATGGTAGCCCTCTCGAAAAGTATATTCAAGCTAAACTCTTGTTAAGGCTTCTTTGTCTAATATTGCGACACATATTTTATTTAAGTGACAAATTAGGTTGAGCTTGATTTTTTAAACATGTGGCAACTCCACTAAATATGGTTCAGAAGTAAAGATTTTTGAAACCCCCTTAGATAGATACCCAAATTTTAATAATTAATTTAACTTAATAAATACTTTGAATACAACTATTTAAATAGGTGGTAACCCTTTTTCATCACCTCAAAAATAGTCTTAGCGTTGAAAATAAGATTTCTTAACACACTTTCGTTTGACATTAATATTTTGATGTTTCATATAATTTGTGTATAAGTTAATTAAATTCGCCATTTCAAGCAGGTGGCAACCTTGTTCAAAATATTTTCAAACTATTACCTTCTTAAAACCATACTTCTCTTACCTATTTACCTTAATTCAAATTGAATTTTATTTTTAAACAGGTAGCAACCCTCCTATAGTTAAGTTAAAAAACAAAGCTTTTCCAAACCCTTTCGATTAATACCTGTTTTTAATAATCGATACATTTTTTTTTTTAATAATTTGAACATAGATAAGTTTTTAAAAGGTGGCAACTCGTTTCAAAAAAATAAATCCTTATTGCACATCTACAGCCCGAGCCCTTTAATTTCACACCTCACTTTTGAAAATCGAACGAACGGTACGGACTTGATGGTATTGATTATTGAAAAATTTTAATTTAATTGCCATTTTTGAAAATCGAACGAACGGTGCAGATCTTTTATGCTGAACAAAAAAATGCCTTCGTGTATTATATACATATATATATATAGATTTTTTGTGTAAATAAGGATCTGGATGATATCTGGAGATGTGTGGGGAATTTTACGAAATTTCGGGCAAAATCGGGGAATTTCATTGTCGAAATCGGGGAATTCTCAAAAATGAGTTGGCTACTTTGCTCCTGAAGTGCAACTTACAATAGTGAAGTGGCAGAATTTTTCGAGAAGACCGGCTAGACGAGCAAAAAAATCGGCTAGAAACGGCTATATATAAGCTTTTTCCCTGGATAAAAATGGAAGGTTATTTTTTCAGACAATTCACGATTTTATTATTAAATAACATAAAACGAGACACAACCGCATAACATTTGTTTTTAGTGTGCAACTAATACAATATTAATTATACTATGTGGTAAATATATTCCATTAAACATGTGGAAAATTAATATGTATATACATATAAGTCATATGAGTTTAATATTAAATTTCTATCGCAGCTTTTGTAAGAGACTTCTTAAAATAACTGGCCCTAGTCATAGAGAAGTTAGAAAAAGGTTTTAACGATTAAAATTGTGTTTTATTGTAATCACCATTTTAACTCTGTCATAGTCAACTTAAAATGCATTTTATGGCAAAAACAGAATTTTAACTTTAAAATGAGGAGAACGCGGTTCTAAAATGGTAAAATAAGGTTCTAAGTTTTGTTTTGTTGTTGAAGTAGTAAACGCAATAGCACCCAGGTTCGGTCCCCACTCCAAGAGATTCCAAACAATATTTTTTTTTTATTTTATATTTTTATTCAACAATTTTTATTGAGCTTCGGGCCGTTTTTAATGAAAAACTTATTGTGGAAAAGCAACAATAATTTGAAAAAATGGTAGAAGTGATAGCTATTTCGGAAATCACCACATTTCCTCATCAGACTTCTTTCAGTAGGATTCGAACCGACGATCCCACTGACTCAGCCAGTTGCCTACGCACTGTGCTAAGTTCGCCTTGTAAATTATCGTTTGATTTTTTCCACTATTTTCATTTTACAACGCTTTTATCAACTTGCAATGTTGTGCGTCCAGAACCTTTCAATGTTGTGGATCCAGAAACTTTCAATGTTGTGTGTCCGACACCAAAGCAAAGCTTTGAAAAGTTCCTATAAAAAAGCATAGTGCATAGGGCGACAGCTGTAGTGCATAGGGCGAGGTAGATGACATCTAGATGTCGCCCTATGTACTACGTTTGCTACAGTGGAAATAGACGACACGCCATTTCTTTAAATAAAATTAATTGGTGCTCGTTTGTATGTACATACATATGTAAATGCATTTGTGTGCACCTTTCTATTAATATCGTTGAATTATTTTAATATCTATTGCAAACTTTTATTCTGACAGGACTAAAAAGTAGAAAATAAATAATATAAAAAAAACTTTTTAATATACAACGCTTTTATAAATGGACTAAAAAGTAGAAAATAATATTTCTCAGTCCCATAGAATTTGGCCCTTATTATGAGCTGCATTCGATTTTCGATCTTCGCTGGCTATCGAAGATCGAAGATCGAAAGTGGAATTCGT